TGCCATTTTACTTCCTTTTTCTCTAAACAGTGATCCCAAGTATCCAGACACTACTTTTGAATAATATTTCTGTTCTTAAACTGATAAGGAGAAAATTGAAACTTGAGTAATAGGAAGTCTTTAATTTTTCTGGTCAGGAGATAGAACTTTTGAGTAATTGACTTAAGTAATTGAGTAATTGGGTTTTTTTTAATTGCCACAAGATGGCAGTAGAAGTTAGATCTAAAAGAAGATTAACTGGTTGTCAATTTATGTTAGCCTGAAGAGTATCTGGCTTCTTCAGTTCAGTTCAGTTGAGTTGCTAAGTCATGTCCGACTTTTTGCGACCCCATGAACTGCAGCACGCCAGGCCTCCCTATCCATCACCAACTCCCGGAGTTTACCCAAACTTATGTCCATTGAGTCGGTGATGTCATCCAATCATATCATCCTCTGTTGTCTCCTTCTCCTCCTGCCCTCAATCTTTCCCAGCATCAGGGTCTTTTCAAATGAATCAGCTCTTAACATCAGGTGGCCAAAGTATTGGAGTTTCAACTTCAATATCAGTCCTTCCAATGAACACCCAGGACTGATCTCCGTTACGATGGACTGGTTGGATCTCCTTGCAGTCCAGGGGACTCTCAAGAGTCTTCTCTAACACCACAGTTCAAACGCATCAATTCTTCGGCGCTCAGCTTTATAGTCCAACTCTCACATCCATACATGACCATTGAGAAAACCATAGCCTTGACTAGACTATGTCTCTGCTTTTTAAAATGCTGTCTAGGTTGATCATAGGTTGGTCATAATTTTTCTTCCAAGGAGTAAGTGTCTTTTAATTTCATGGCTGCAATCACCACCTGCAGTGATTTTGGAGCCAAAAAAATAAAGATAGTCAATGTTTCCACTGTTTCCCCATCTATTTGCCATGAAGTGACGGGACCGGATACCATGATCTTAATTTTCTGAATGTTGAACTTTAAGCCAACTTTTCCACTCTCCTCTTTTGCTTTCATCAAGAGGCTCTTTAGTTCTTCACTCTCTGCCATAAGGGTGGTGTCATCTGCATATCTGAGGTTATTGATATTTCTCCCGGCAATCTTGACTCCAGCTTGTGCTTCTTCCAGCCCAGTGTTTCTCATGATATACTCCGCATATAAGTTAAATAAGCAGGATGACAATATACAGCCTTGATGGTACTCCTTTTCCTATTTGGAACCTATGTGTTGTTCCATGTCCAGTTCTAACTGTTGCTTCCTGACCTGCATACAGGTTTCTCAAGAGGCAGGTCAGGTGGTCTAGTATTCCCATTTCTTTCAGAATTTTCCACAGTTTATTGTGATCCACACAGTCAAAGGCTTTGGCATAGTCAATAAAGCAGAAATAGAT